TACGTACATATATATATATAGATATGTGTGTGTGTTGTGTTCCAAACATTCCCAAATTAGCTTGATGCGCGCAGACGTTCGGCCTGTCGTTTCGTGCCGCATGCCGCGGGAGCATTTAAGGGCACGGAGACGACGGCATTGACCAGGATCATAAGTTGTACATGCTGCAAGACTCAGTGTACCGAGGTTCCCATGAAGATGATGCAAGTTCTGGCGACATGTCTGCATATACCTCCTTCTCGGGATTGACACGGGTCCACATGGCGGCCCAAGGCACCTTTGCAATCGCTTTTCGCTCGTGTCTCGCTCAGTTAGGAATAGGGGACCACTCGTCATGTGCAGCTCCGCGCTTCGGCGCGTCGCTTAGCTCCACGTCAAGTCAGTCTCATTCTCACATGGCCGAGCTTTTCACTTGCCCAGACAGCTTCCACGGAAGCACCTTCCCGACGCGGGCTGAGAGATAGCAACAGTAAAACAAACCTGTCGGAGCACGACGGTAGCAAATGCGCGAACATGCAGTCCAAGAGATGAATCAAAGGCCACGTTTGGTGGAGTGTTTTGGCTTGGCTGGAACATGAAGTTCCTCATCAAGGAAACCCTTCACTCTCCCGTCATCATCCGGGAGATGTCCTTTCCGCAGAGGCCGCAGAATTAGGCTCCGCTGTGACGTTATACAGGGTGGCTTCAGGCAACTGTCGGCGTGTCGTCCGGTGAATGACAGGAAAGGCGACTGCAGCTACTCGTAATGTGAGCACGTTTGAATCTCCACTATGCCTGCCCCACCTGCTCGATAGCTGTTTGACTGCTCAGCTGTGCTAGGCCGAAGTCAGAGCCGTTTGTTGTACTCCGTCCGCGCACGCGGAGGAACTTCTACAAATGTCACGACGTGGACATGGACTGCGACGACTTAAATCAGACGAGCGCCCGTCCCTACTGCGAACTCTCTCAACTTGAAGCAGCAAAGGACTGGGTCCCGTGGGCGTGTGAGGAAAAATCGCACCACATGGGATATCACTCAATACCTTCGGTTTTTGTTGCTTTGCGTTTCGGAATTGGTACCTGCGGGCTGACATGTGCGAATGCTGTGTTCAGGATGCTTTGAGCAAGTACTTTTTCACGGATTCGGCGCAGCACAACTACAGCAAGAGCTCACTGGCATGCAAAGATGTGCATTCTTCAGCGAGCCTGCGTGGAAATCTTCATTGTGTGGAACCTTCTGATGGATTTGTGCACGATGTCGTCGCATGCCAGAGTGAATCTAAAGCTGCTTCCACGAGGCAGATGGCCAACGTTGCCCAAGCTCCTTACTGGCTGTGGCTAGGCAGAAGGTGCTAGCTAGCTAGGAGCTGATGCATTGAACACGGCACCGCCGCCAAGACATTGCATGAATTCTGTCGTATTATGCTTCGACGGTGCCCAGGTGGCATTTACGACATGCACGACGTCTTCAGGAAGTCTAGCAAGAACGTAATGTTGGCGACCGCTTTCACGAAGACACGCCAGAGGCAGTGCAAAGACGAACACTGCATTTGGAAGAACGATGGATTCGAGGTCACATTCGTTCCTAGATGCTGACAGCACGGGTTGTTTGCCATTCGTAAGCAAGAGAAGAATTCGGAGATTGTGTACTGTGTTGGACATCAGGTTGAGAATGTGGAGCGCTTCTTCCTCAAGCTCCGCCATGTGGTAAGGTTGTCATGGTTGCGCTGCGGACAGCTTGTCACCAACTTGCTGAAATGGATAGAATCGTGAGGGCCGACAGCTTCCATAGGGGTATCCAAGCATACGGACCTGGTGAGCTGTCTGTGGTTCCCACTGACAACAACTCAGCCTGATATGCTTGGCTGCCATGTGGATCGACGCCAGGTCAAGCTGTCGAAAGGGGGAACTTTGCGCAACGCTCATAGCACCGGTTTCTTGAAAATCAACGATGAAATTCGACTGCTGGCTTGCGAGACTTGGTGCACTACAGTCTTTACGAGGTAGAACACATGCGGTGCAAAGTTGTGCAGTGGCAGCATGTCGATTACATCTCCTGCATCTTCAAAGATTGCATCCGCCATGTCACACATTCGCTTGTCACGCTTCCTCCGCGTGAGAAGTTCCTCACCTTCTCACTCCCTCCATAAATTGCTTCGGGAGCATTTGTTTAGTCACAATACTACCATCAGGGGTGTTGTGTGTAAGGTTCAATCAATCCTCAGATCCAAGACATCCTATTGGGGTTTGGGCTTCTTGCGATGCAGTCGGGCTAGGGGTTCATTGCAACCCGTCTTCCGAATCACCTAGCTCCTTTCTATCGTCTCGATTTTGCAAAGCTTTGTGACTCTAGAAACCCAATCCTCCCAAGCCTTGAGGATGATGATACTCTTGTCGGTGATGCCCGGATAGAGCTGTGTTTTTTGGGGCAGGGTTGCGCTTCAGGTTCAGGGTGCCGAAGCCTCGCCTATTCAGCATCTAGGCATACCAACCCATCTGCTCATGCTGTTGCTTCCATTCCGGCTTTGAATACGACTTCCTGATCGCTTGTGAAACGATGCACAAGGCTCGGTGCTGCACTAAGGAGCCCCACAAGAAGAAGTTGGGAGAATGTGGATATTCAAAAGACTCGCATGCGAGGGTCGCGCCCTGTGGAGACATGAATCTTTATCTTGAGTTCAGCCATACCGCCGCAGCAGCGTTGTGTTTTGGATGCGGGGCGCCCGTAGCTGGGTAGTGGTTGAGTCGCAACTCACCGAGTCACTCAGGTTCACTAGCGTGGCATCTGCATGAAAATGATAGGCAGCTTTGCATAACGGCCTCCTGCAAGCTGTTGTTTATGCCTTACGCTTGTTTCCCGAAGAAGGGGGTGGAGGAGAACATGACGACCAGTCCAGCTTTCGGGGGGTCCGGGGATGCGGATTGTGGAAGCACACAGCAAGCTATCGCCCGATTTGACGACCTCGACGCCTTTTGCTTTCTGATATCGGTGGATCAGGAAACTTTCTGATCATCTTCGCTCTTGTCCAAGGACTGGTGACGAGGCTTGCTTCACAACTGGATTTGCGGACTTCCTGTCCCTGCACCTTGGTTCTGGTGTTTCTTGAGGGCGCTCTGCCAGCTGCAAAACACTTCAGTCTCACTTCAGCGCCTCCGGCAGGGAGACTTCAGATCAAATTGTGGAGGGATTTCCAGGAAGGTAGGATACCATGGCAATCAGGATTTTTGCACATCATATATCATCTTGTCGTGGTGAAGTATGGCCATGTGCTGTCCATTGTCCTGCGTATACCGTGGAGCATGAGGCGAACTCTATTGAACGCGGCGAACATCTCTCTGGATGAGGGAATCACGCAAAACGTCTCGCGACGGTGGTGGGGCACGCACTTGAGCATCGCTTCTCGGCGCTCAGAAATCGGTTGTGTACTAGCAGCAACAGCAGTGTCCAAAAATCGGGGCAACAGCAGCACGACGAAGAAGAGTAAGGGCAGCGGGAATCCGAACTAGAAGTTCAGACTGCTGGCACGACCATTCGGCCCAGGTTCACAGGAACAACCTTGCGATGGGGCCGAATGTAATCCGGTCCAACCACAATACAGGGCTGCGTAAGTAATGCAACAATGCATGATGTGCCACTCGTGTCTGCTTGGGAGGGGTTCAACAGCAAAGGATATTAGTTACTCAAATGCGGATCCCTGGACATACTGGAATTTTTGGCGCCCGGAGTTCTTGAAGTTGATTCCGACCTACACCTATTCTGTGCGCAGAAGTGGTAACTTGGCTCGAACGAGTGCTTGTGATATTTTGCGGTCATGTTGCAGGAGCAATACAAGCGTTTGCGTGAATGCCTTGATTTGAGCTGTTTCAAGCAACGTTCAATGAGGCGATTATGCTTGGTATTCTCATCACAACACAACCGGTGCGCATCGCAAACTGACGAGGATGTCTGGCATCACAATGCAGTGTCCAGCCTGCATTCCATATCCCTCCTTGATTCGGGGATGGGAATATTGGGGCCTTAGTAACCGTAGTGGTTAAGATGGGTGTTGGGGCAGATTTTGTACCAGCACCTGTTGCAACAGGTTCCACCTGCATGGGTCCATGTATTCCGGCAGCGTCATGCACTTCCTGAAAACCCTCGCGATCTTCACCATTATCTGGGAGATCACAATGGTGGTTGTTGCAAACGTCATGCTCTTCGTCTATAAACATGTGGCGTGCTTGTCAATGGCGCACCTCCCTCACTTGAGAAAGTACTTTCGCCAAATGACAACGCCCCATCACCGAATCGTGGCCGGCTTGAGCTACGAAGCAGCTTGGCTGCACTTCCACAAGTACTTGCATGAAAGAGGCAGAGGTGGGCGTGAATCTAGACCGGATACGACGCACAGAGGCCCTGGCCAAAGAGCTTCAGGACTTGCGCCAGGAAGCAGCCAGGGGGCACTTGAAGACCACCGCGCAGGCCGCCAGGATCTGTGCGTGAACCTGTTGACAAACTGATGTGAGCATAGCTGCTGGCAAGGATTCTGACACGGAGACCTCGCCAACTTCGGAGCACACGTCTCACGTTTCGCAGTAGCTCCAAAGACGGGCCGACCAAGCTGGAGGTGTGCAAAGAGCTTCTCAGCTTCTGGAAGACCTCTGGAAGCAACCTGCGTAATTATGCTAGCTGAAGAGGTTTCTGCCGGGGACCTGGCAGGACTTCTTTGTAGAGATCATCGACGATGCTGCATATGAAGAGGATGAGGACAGCTGAGTCGACAGAAAGATGATCCGCTCGTGATCCTAGAGGGCAATCAAGCGTGATCTCTGTGCACGGAGAAAGCTGCAGTCATCTTGAATCCACAGCTGTGGGTCCAGCGTTTGCAGTAGGGTTCATGGACAAAACACAGCCGCAGTGGAGACGATGTTTACAAAGTTTTACACTGTGTTTTGTACGCAAATTCCGTATTATTGTATGCCAGTGAAAAATTGAAGAGAAAACGGTTCAATTATGTTTCATTAATTTCTCTTCGCTGCAGAAAAAGAGCAGCGACTGCAAGTTTGCAAGAAGCCTCTGACAGGAGTTCTACCTGGACTTGAGCCATCCCAAACTAATGGGCATGGAGCACCCCCAGGACGTAAAGGCGCGTGTGTGCAATGCCAAAACCAATACTTGTAACACCCAATAGCATCTGGAATCTGCAAAGTCGAGTACAGTTGATTCGTCGCACGTGCGCTGGCTTGCAGAAACATTCTCAGCCTATGCCTGGGCACGAGAAGGGGAAGGATTGCTGCTGGATGTCTTACGCAGCCTTTTTCGTGCAGGTGCGTGTCTGTCCTGGTCTTGGAACAGTCACTGTTGCAACTTGGCCACAGTGTTTCGACCAATTCACATTGGCCTGCCTCGTGTCGCACAAGCCCCTGAAGGTGAGTGGTGTTTTGCACACTTACCGAGGTCATTGTAGATGACGATGAGCCTGGGAAGCTGCGCTTTCAGCAGAACGCTCAGCGGTTCTCTGTAGATGCAATCTCGCGCACCCTCGCAGCCAAGCACGCACGGGCACCCGCCCAGACCCGCCCCCGCCCCGCCCCGCCCCGCTCCGTCCGCCCGCGCGCCCACCCACCCACATACACACTAATATACGCAGACACAGACACAGACAGAGCGACACACACACACACACACAGAGACAAGCACACAAACAAACACAAACACAAACACAAACACAAGAACAAGCACAAGCACAAACATAAACACAAGTACAAGCACAAGCACAAGCACAAGCACAAGCACAAACACAAACACAAACCAAGCACAAGCACGAACCAAGCACAAGCACAAGCACAAACACAGGCACAAGCACAGGCACAGGCACAGGCACCGGCACAGGCACCGGCACAGGCACCGGCACCAGCACCGGCACCAGCACCAGCACCAGCACCAGCACCAGCACAAGCACAAGCACAAGCACAAGCACAAGCAAACACAAACACACACAGAGACACACACACACACGCACACACACACACACACACACACGCACGCTAGACAAGCCGTAATACGTCAAGCTTCCGTATCACAGGAAAGAACCCTTATAGATCACTGATGGGAAACCCTT